CCAGTCACCAAAGAGTGTACTCTAATCCCCGGGTCTCTAACCCAGCTTGGTGATCACAAAGAAACAGAAAATATCACAGCTAAGTGTTCTTGAGTTGGGAGGGAGGGGAGGGTAGGGGAACAGTGGGGAACTGGGGGGGGAGCAGGAAACAAACAAAAAAATACCCAACAAAAACCACAAACAAAACACCAAGGGAGATTACTATTAATTTATAGCCAAATTTCTTGCTGTCATGTATGACATTATCTTGCATATCTAAAGGGGTAAATAATTCAGGGCCATACATCATCATTACTTTTAAAAATCTGTAATATTGAGTTAACTGAAGAAAAACACACACAAAACTTTCTACAAACTATACAATTTGCTGGCCTGACATTCCTTCTACTTTAGAAAGAAGTTCTAGCAAAGTTACAACATTTCTGTTTCGTGTAATCAATAATGATCTTAAAAGTAACAGATTCACTTACTGAATTAAAAAGTTACTATGTGGCCATTTTTAAACCTAAGACACGGATTGTAGTTATGTTTCATGCTACTTCAACAAATAATTCCAAGATAATGAATAATAATTAAGCTAACATTTTCCTATATTAATCACAACAAGCTAAGGTAGACTCCCTGTAGCCTTTTTAACAAAATGTAACCTGCTACATGTTGACATTTTTAACTTCTAGGTTGAAAAGAAGTTCTCAACTACTGTAAATTGAGCAGCTGAAAAAATCCCAACAAACAGTGAATAATTAAATGAATATTAGGATGAGGGATCAAACTTAGAATAACTTTTATGGCAACTAATAATTCTGTCTTCAGATTTCAAAAGACAGATACTTGTATTACTCTTCTAAAGGGCTCTGAGAATTTGCAGGTTGCTGTGCCCCATAGAAAACCAAGAAGCTGTTTAAAATGGGTACACCTAAGCTTCTCTTTACTAAGGGATAACTTTTAATTTTGGTCCTCCAAATCAAAATCCAATGCACATTAGGAGAACCTGGAGCAGAAGGGCATAGAAAGAAGGACATAGCAGATTACACTGAAGCTTTCCATCTCCTGTAGACACACAAGTCTCTTGCTCTTCCTGCTACACAAGCCCAGTTCACTCTTTTGGTGGCTAAGCTTGAGAAACTTCACCTGCATTCAGATTTCATTCACCTGCAACTTCTGTCTAGAAATACTCCAAAACTTTTGCTCCAGTCTGCTACTGGTGTTCACATACAAATGGTTTTATTCCACTTCATAGCCTGAGTGAAGTAACAAGTATTAAAGGTATTTGAATAATACATGAAAAACTAAAATAAACAAAAAGAATATAAGGGCCACGCTTAGGTGAACAGCATTTACTGTGCTGACCGCAGACAGTGGAAGAGGTCTCAAATTACACTTCATGAACTAGTAAGTATAGTTATCAGGGGAAGCTGTGTTACCCTTCATTGTTCTTTCTGGGACCTCAGCATGTCCTTGATCCAGGCAATACCATAAGCTTCATGAGTGGATCAAGGGCATAACATCACCTTTACAATTCAAACCTGGATATTTAACTGTTACCACTTCAAACAACTTCATTTTAAGTGTCCTGAAGTCTGGAAAATATGCTACTGAGGACACTTAACACGCAACTGTTAAACTGGCTCAACAAGGCAAATATATATCAGAAATACTAAACCTCCATCACATTTTATGTTTCTTTAGTTTTTAGTTGCCATGTATCATTTGAATAACTGACAATCAACATTTACTGATAGTAAACCAAATGTTGCAACTAATAGTTTATTGTGTGTATAGTCTTCATATGTTACTGATATTCCATAGTAAATGAATAAGTCTTTCCCAGCAGTATGTCACTGATGACCAATTTTTTCTCCCAGTTACAGAAGTTGTATCATTATAGAGCTTTTTGCTGCTAAATATACTGAGTAACTGAACGTCTGAGATTGATGTCTGTAGCAGCAATTCATTTTTATGCTGTTATAACAAAGGGAGAGAGAGAGGAGTTCAAAAAGAAACTCCTTCTGCAACTTAAAACCCACTTTATTAGGTAATAAGAGCAAAGAATTAAAATGGAAGTAAACACTGTGTGTTGTGTTATTTAACTGCACGTACTAATAGCAGTAGAGTTATTGTGAAGTACTTCGAACAATCCACCCTCTCTCTCCACACATATCTTTATAGGTAGGCTAAAATACTTCCCGTCAAAAATTAATGCACTCAGCTAAATATATAAAAAAGCCCCAGACCCCTAAATAATAGTGGTCAAATACTCATAACATACTTGGATTGTGAACTCTATAATAAGAGTGAGATAAGAGGCAAGAACGGAAAGACAAACCCACATGTCAGAGCTGGGTCGGCCAAGCAGAGCCCCCGGCCCCACAGCTGGAGGCACCCATGCAGATCCCTGGGAAGGCAGAGGAATGCCGGGTGGGCAGGCACTGGCCTATGCAAATCGGGTTACCCGGTTCTACCCCAGACCTCAACAGTAAACACAAAAAGAGTAAACAAATTAAAAAAAAAAAAAAAAAGTAACTTGGATGTTTAAAGTTCTTTTCCATTTTAATGCCCAAGGAATTTCCAGTAACAAGGGGTATTGTTGTCAGAACACTGAGCTTGCACAACTGCCTGCTCTCCATCTCTTTTCTCTTATCCATCACAAAACATACCCAAAGTTTTTCATTAGAAGCGAAGTTAAGGAAGTTATCTTACTAAAAATAAAGTCTAGGTATTTTTTCCGAACAACCGAATCGATTTTATATAATTTAAAGTTGTGCTGAAATACTTCGACGGGAGAAAAAAACTCAAACCCCAATCAAAACAAACGAACGGGAACACCAGCATAAAGCTCCCTGCCATGGCGAGTTCGGATCAATGCTTTTGTCTTCCATTTTACCCAGGGCTCAGGAGAGCAGCGTTGCACCGAGCGCTCTCCCGGCGCGCTCCCGAGCCATGTAAACACGCCCGGGGCCGGGGCCGCGCCGCGGGGTCAGCGGGGCTGCACGATGCGGGCGGGCACACGAGTTTCTGACCTATATTCCCCGCAGCGAGATGAAAACCCTCCCGCCGCAGACGCGCGGCGGGCGAGTAGCCATCCCCCGGCCGGCAGGTGTGTTCGGGCTTGGGTGAAAAGCGAAGCGGGCCGGTGCGAGGGATGGAGGCTGAGGCAGCGGGAGGCGCCGGCACCGCGCCTACACCGCGGGTCCTCCTCGCCGCGCGGCACGGACACCTGCTGCGGACAGCGCTGCGGCCAGCGCGGCCTGGCGGGCCGCGCCGCCGGTCCGCGAGGCCCCCGTCGGGCCGTGGCCGGTCGGGCCGGGCGCGTTCGCCCGCGCAGGCCGCGCCGGGCCGGCCGCCTGGCGGGCGGGGGGCCGGCCCGAGCCGCGGGCCTCGGGCCGGGCGGGCGCGCCGGGCCGGCCCGGGCCCCCTCGGAGCGGCGCCGAGAGAGCGTCGGAGCGCGCCGTTCCCCCTCACTCACCGCTGCCGATCTCGTTGCCCTTCTTGGCATGGGTGGCGGCGTGCCCCATTTGCCGGCCGGGGGGGCGATCGGGCGGAGGCCGGGCGGCTCGGCTGCGGGCGGCGCGGCCGCGGTCGCGCGCGGGCAGCGGCGGCGGCGAGCTGCCTGGTCCGCGCTGGGTCTCTGTGTTCTCTCGGCCGCCGCGGATGAGGAGGCGAAGCGCTCTGCCCCCTCCCCCGCCCCGCCTCGGCTGAAAATGAACGCCGCGGGCGGCGCCCTCCTGCCCGCTGCGCCCCCGCCGGGGGCCCGCCGACCACGGGCCCGCCGGCGGCCCCGGGCCGCCTGCCGCTGGCCTCGGGCCGGGGCGACTCCGGCGCGGCCCGGCGAGGGCCGCGGAGGCCCGGGCATGCGCCCCGCCCGGCCGGCGGCTCTCTCGCGGGGCAGGGCCGGCGGGGGCCCGCGGCCTCCCGGCCGCCTCCGCCAGCCCGGCTGGCGGCGCGCCCGGAGCGCCCCCGCTGCCGAGGCAGCCCGGCGCGCCCGCGGCGGCCGGCGCGACGCTAAGCCCGCCGTGCCCAATGTGACCCCGCGAGGCCTGCGTCGCCCTGCGGCGCCGCCCGCCCCGCGCCCCCGAGCATCCCCGGGGACACCCGCCGGGCCCGCGCCCCGCGGGCGGACGGGAGGGAACTCGCACTTGCCGCCTGTTCACTGACTGTTTTTACGTGGCTCATCAGACTATAGAAAAAAAACCGTAGAAAGTAAGCGGGTTGCCAGGAAAAAAAATTTTTTTCCTCCCCCCCTTTAGCTGCCACCCATCATAAATAGCTACAGCTACGCATTTTCAAGCGGTATTGTGACTTTCAAGTCGATGATAGCTCTCTTTATATATTTACCATATGAAGCACTTTGAGCGTTTTAGCTCTGGAAGGAAATGCTTATAAAAAAAAAGGCTCTATTTTATGTGAGGAGAGTGGAGAGCAGAAGTGCTAATCTTATGGATCACAAACTGTATATTCTGCCAGGACAATGTATGTCATACCCATGTTTCTGGCTGCCTTTTTTCCCCAAGGCAGCAGCCGTCCAGGCTATCATCCTTCACAGAGGGGCTATCAAAATCCTCTCCCAACAAGTGGGCTGCTTGCCTGTGAAGCACATGCTGTCACAGCCCAATACTGAATTTCCTTATTCTCTAAGACAGGATTTTACACACATACGTTAATGCCCACTAAAGCACATACTTCTAGGAACTTTCCAGTCTCCTGAGACTGTGCAGTGGAGTACATTGTATGTGAACACTGGGCAGATTTAGCCAGCGTGTGGCTCTACCTTGACAGTTGTACAAACTGCCTGGATTATATAGCTGCAAAGTTTTGGGAACACTAATTATCTTGATGTTTTGTAGGTTGAGGTTTGATCAATGAACTTTTCAGTTAAGGGACTTTCTCTTGATTTTCTTCACCTTTACACTTGCATTATCCTGATCTGTGTGAAACTACTTGCTTCAGGGAAGTACCTGTGCTTCTATGATTAAAGAAGCAGTCTCTGAGGAAGCCAGGTCTTTATTGCTTTGAAGATCAGAAAGAAGATGTAGACATGGTGAGGAAATAACCTGCAAACCATTGGAGGCGGTGAAGCTGCTAGTGTTGAAGAGAGCTGTCTCATTTTGCCAAAGCTGGAATCTGTGCGTTCTTTAGGCACTTACCCAGAGGTTCAGTGATTAACTGGTAATTCACTGCCAAGCAAAGGCATGTAGTTTGCAATGGCCAGATCTGTACCAGGAGGAGAAGTTAAGCATGGGAAAAGGAGAGGGTACTTTTGTCACCTATCATCTTGATCACTCATACAATGACAAAGAACAGAAATCTGAGATGCTGTAGAGTTTAAATAAATATCTGAAGATGCTATCTCAGATAGGTGAAGATCTTATCCCAGTTTTAAACATTTTCCCCGCTCCAGCCATCATCATTTTCGTTTTGGCCAGATTGAGTCTGAGTCAGCTGATTTTTATCCAGGTGCTGACAGGCATTTTGATATCCTTGAGAAGACAGCAGCAGCATCACTAACAAATGAGATGTGCTGCAGCCTCTTTAGCATATTCTTGTCTTTACAGCTCATCCCTTCGCTAGCCAATTATGCTGCAGAGGCTGCACATGTGGGGATCCCCCAAGGTCCAATAGTCATTACTGCCCTTTGGGATTTAGTGGACACGGATCAGTTGGTCATTGCATGTACTCCAGCAAAATCCTACATATACACATCCAGCACCACAGATATATATATATGTGCACCAATGCAATGACACTGGTTCTTAAGTAAGCACGTGCTCTGAATGCACATGGAGCACTGATGGCTTTGCATAAATGCTTATACCCAAGCACCCTCCTAATCAGAAACATAACAAAATAAGTGAACTGTGCTGTGAAACAATAAGTGAACCGTTTCCACGGTCCTGGCATTACACATCTCAGCAAAGATAACAGAAACAAGGAATTAGGGCTGGACATTTGTATTCTCATTCACACCACTTACACAAATGCTATATTAACAAGTTAATACTCATTGATTGCAGAGCATACTAATGTAGTATAGATTATAGATGTTATGTATATATAATTACTTAGCATTCAGACTGTCAACTCTTATTCTAGCCCTAGTCTTCAGTTGCCTTAATTTTCTTATATAAAATCCTTTTATGCTGAAATGTCTCATATCACTGCTCATACAAAAGTAGTTTGTCTTCTTTCTTTCAAGACAATTGATTAAAAAATCAAATTATGCAAATACAAAAAATGTTTTCTTTGGGTATGTTAAAATATTTCACTGAGAGTGCAATCTAAAAAAATTCAAATTCCATTTGTTTTGCTGATCTGTATGAGATTTTAAAAAATATACTCAGCTCAGCAGTTTTACAACTCTATGCATTTAATGATGGAGCTTCAGTGACTCTCAGCAGGTTTTCATCCACTTTTCTATATATTTGTTGGGAATCAACAATATCAATTAGAAATATCCTAGTAAGACCAGTCTTTTTCTCTGATAAAGCTGAAAGCTCTGTAGCAGATGTATAGTTCCCTCATGAAACACATATTTTACTCTACATAGACTTAGAACTAAAAATGAGAGGATCATTTCAGGACAGAAAAGATAAATTTCTGCTAGATCAAAGATTCTCACGTGCTTTTAATAGAAATCACCTGTTCCTATGGTAATGACTTCTGGAGCCACATATCATTTCACTCCATAATAATTCTGATTTCTAGATGAGATAGCAGCATTTCTGTAGCAACTACAGCAGTTGTTTTCAATACACATTTGAAACAAGTCACTAAATTTAAATCATTACGCATCTTCTTTTTCTTCTCTGGCATTTAAGGTGTGCCCGCATTGCAAGGGATTGGCATATACAGATTGATGGGTTTGCCCATCTGTACTAATAATTCTTACCCCGAGGGCGTAGGCTCTGCTCAGGTTATGAATATGTACCTGCCTTAGTTGTAATTCTCTTTTTATGGCCAGCCTGCCTTACCATTGCAGCAGTGCCTGTAAACTGCAGGGTTTGAATACCATTAGACTGCTCTTCCCCAAATCCCACATTCCTGCATTTTTGAATACCCCTAGCAGCCTCCTTCTCTGTTCCTAAACGGACTGATATATTTGGCACTTAACTCTTTGTTTTCCTTTCGGGTTGTTCCAGGCTCCTGGCACATTTCCCGCTCTCAGCTAACCCCTGCTCTGCCAGCGTGGGATGTTTTTCTAGCAGGTTGCTAACGTGCCAAGAAGCATATGTATCTCTTTGTGAACATGGAAGATATTTTCCAAATTTTACAGCTTCTGACCCAGAAACAGGAATATTCATCACTGCAGCATAATTTCAGATCTGCCAAGAATATATCAATTATGTCATGTAGGCGTGCTAAGGGAAAGGCTGAAAGCAGGAGTACAGCAATTTCCCCTGCTCCTCACACCAGCTACACAGACAGAATAAACCACAGCTTGGGCAGGTAAGGCCAAATCCACTGATGCCAAATTCAGTCCTGTTGAGGACCCACTCGCTCAGAGAGGAGTAAAAGGTCTTACATGGCTTTTCCACAATATCTCAGATTGTCAGCCCCTGAATCCACGACGAAATTTAAGCAGCTTGGCCAAGAACTTTCTCTGCCAGATCTGAAAAATGTTCTTCAATGCCCTTCAACTGGGAATCCAGATGGAATCTGGAGCCTCAGGAAAGTGTCCCAAACACCATAATTTTGAGGGACATTTTGGTTCAAAGGAGGGAGTCTTAATTAAGGGCAACTTGGGCTTCCTTCAGTATGGCTAGGTACACTTAGAGTAAAAAGCTCCAAAGAAAGTTTACACCAGCAGCCAACACTTCACTACTGCCACCCTTCCGTCTTGGCATGGGATGTTTCCCAAATGTTTCCCAAGGTAGCCAGTGATCAAAACCACCCCATGTAAATATAAAAGCAAGGGATTTATATATTTCCTTCTTGATTTTTAACTACGGTTCACCACAAACCTCTCAAGAGCCCTAAAGTTGCAAGGTGGGGTTTTTTCCTGATGTTTTACACTTATTTAAAGAAACTGGTACTATGCTTTTGCCGTCAGTATTGCCCCTTGACAAGAGAGCATTTTATCAAATTTTCCATGGATAGTGACTACATATTCAGTCACAGGAAGTGACAGGTGCTGTCTTATGATCAACGTCCTGCTGAGTAGACGTGTTTTTTTCAGAGATAAACTACAGATGTCCTTAGTGGGCAAGTGCAGCTGCTCAGTTCTCAGCCTTTATCTCCCACGATCATTGGGCTCAGTGGGTGTAGTCTCTCCATATCAGCCAGGCAGCACTTTGGTCAGTTGCTTGTAACTGTTCTGCAGGTTATTCCATATTTGTAGAAGATACTGCCTGCAAATTTGTGATTCAGAAGAAATTCCTAATTACTGTTACAGAAAATTCATACTGACCTGTCTCTGTAACTGGCTTTGTGATCATTTTGTGGGTATCTGGCTGGCATCAGGCTCATTTAAAAAATTTCCTTATTTGCATCAAGAGAAGTCAATGATCTTAAAGGCCTTTTTCTGACCTAAATAATTCTATGATTCTGTAAGTTCTTTGCTGTTCTGCACAGGTGTTCCAGGTTTTTTAAGTCCATGATAGATTGCTCAGCCTAAGAAAAGCAAGATATTTTACATTATCTTTATTTGCTGCACTTCTGAAAAATCGATTTTGTACATACTGAGTAGAGGAAAACAAACAAACAAACAAATGCACATTTTGTCTTGTATTTTTAGTAGTTTAGCAATATATTTGTTTTGCTGCACGTGAACTATAGAAGGAATGAAACATAAATCAAAATTGATGATATAGTTGTCTGACATTAGATTCTCATTTAGTCACAGAGATTTGAATAGAAATTTGACTTCTTGTCTAGTCAAAGTTATTTTAAAATGCATAGCTCTTAAAAAACCTGTATAGTAAACCAGTTTCAGGGTAGTTGACTTAATTATCTGCATGCTTACCATAATTGAGAGGTGACCAATATTTTACTGATGACTGTTTGTTCTTACATATATTGAGACTCTGAATCACTTACCTTCTATGGAATAAAGAAGATTAAAAACAAAAGTAGTGGTGTTTTTTAATTTATCTTCTTATGTCTTTCTACAGAGATCTCCAAGTTAATTACAGCTGTTAATTTAAAGTAGACTAAGCTATGTTAAATGCCTCAGTATCTATTTTTCTTCAGAATTAAAAATGACCTTAATTCAATGTAGCCTACCTCACTTTGGAAGTGAAATAAGCTAGGTTAACTGAAGGTCGTTTTAATTCTAACTAGGAGAGTTCACACAAAGAGTTCACCAAGTTTTGTACATATTCTGCACCCAATAAGTGAGTAATGATGAGGAACTAGTAGTCACATATCTAAATCTAAGCTTTATTGTATTCTGCTCAAATGCATGTCCTGTAAATTGTGTCCCACTGGCACATATCACAGTATTGGGTAAAGAAGTCTAGCTAAAAAGGTTCTTAATGTGTAATCAGCTCTTCTGCTGTAGTATCTTTACTAGTGCCATCTAAAAATAGGAAAACAATCTAAGATGGTTTTCCTGGTTTATTATTTGTTTCTAGGAGCATATTTTTAAAACAGAAAAAAAGATCACTTTCATAAACCTTTAATTTTACCCACTTGTCTTTCTACAGCCTGTTCATTTTCTCTTAGCACAGTTCTAGAAACTGGGAGTTGGGCACATATGCCTCACTGAAGGTAGTATGTCCCATTTGCTCTCATCTTTTGCTGCAGGTGTCTTCTGTTCCAAAGAAAACACTCATCCAAGGCAGCAACATGCAGTTTGTTCATGGTTCAGACCTCTGGCACTTACAGTCAAATTAATACAAGCTTTTGCTTTTCAGCATCCTCCATCTACTTTAGTTGTGTTGTTATTCCTTGATTATGATTTCAAGATCTGTGTGCTTTTCTGCCTCTAACATCTCTGTCTTACGGTATTTTGAGCTCTTGGCAATATCTAAGGTTTCAGAGCACTGTCCAGTCCAACACTTATTCAAGTACTAGTATCTTGGCAGCTTCTAAATTGCCTCATCTAGAGTCTGCTTCTCCCAGGAGTCTATTTCTGTATTATTTGCTCCACTTTCTGTTGAAAACCAGTGGCTTTTTAAAGTTTTAAGGGTGTTTTTAGTATTTTTTTAGTCTGTAAATCTTCCCCAGATCTCCCCCTAAGGCAGGTTAATGTCATGCTTTGTCGTACACCTCTAGCAGATAAAATTGTCACCCCAGTCTTATAACGTACAAGATAGTTTTAAACCTTCAGGATCAAAGCATATAACATTTATATGCTTCATTTTTATTTAGACTGCAATGCCCCCCATTTTTTTGTAACAGCCTCATGAATATCCTCCTTCTCTTGTGTTTTTGAGAATTGTTAAATACACCAAATGCATCAGCACTTGCTATTTTCCAAAGGGAAACCTCCTTCTGATAGACTTGCTTTTAATAAACACTTACTGCTGTCAGATGTGCACTGAAGTTCTTGCCTCTTTTCCAGTGGTTTCTGGTATTTCCAGAGTTCGAGCCTTTCAATGCTTCAATTTCTTCTCAGTGTCTTTTTTTGATTTCTTTTTACTGTTAGTGCCATGAATGAGGAGTCATTCCAGGCTCAGAGAGTTTCAGTAGATGTTCTTTAATCACGTGTCTGCAGTGCCTTTTCCTCACACTTTTAAACCAGAAAGCTAAATCTCAAAAAGAACATTTAGACCAGTAACCTTTCATTAGGAGAAATAATGAGAAAAAAATTATAGTATCATATTCATAGGTGTGAATCTATTGAAAAACAGTATTGAAAACAGTAAAAGCCACTTTGCATATGAAAAAAAGCAGCCAATAAATCGGTCTATAAAGTTAATTTACTATTTTTAGATTGCTTTTGGCTTATGTTTGACTGACAAAGCTAGAAGAAATATCTATGGTGCTAGCCAAGTAGAACATATTAATCCTCATTAGCATAAAGAAGTGATTATTTCAAGTAGTTGTAATGTAAATGTCAATGTAAAAGCTTTTTCCTCTCAGCTCCACAGTCTGGGAAGCCATTGGCAGAATGTGATTTGGTATTGGTAGATATTCTGCATATTTGATAGATGCACGACTGATTCACCAAGAAAGGGAAGTCGAATGTTTTCAAGCATTTTTTTAATCTCATGAAACAGAGAACTTTGACTTCCATTTGCATTTAGTCCAAGACAGATTTTCTTTTAGCTCAGTTTCACATCTGAAATGCTGAGGTAATTTTCTAATAATAGTTGAAATAAACGTAGAGCTTCCAGTGAAACTTTTTTTGTTTTAATCCATATTAAAAGATGGTAACCATGTGAAATACAGTTTTTGCACATGGTATTTTGCAATTGGTATTAAGTAGTCTGATTTTAATAATTACATTTACAAGAAAGAGTTCCATTCCATTTTGTGCAAAGAGTAGATCCATTCCCAAGTAATATATTAAGACCAGTAAATGTATACATATAAAAATTATCCTCAAGAATTTCTCATTTCCAATACTGTAATTTCTTCTGAATAATTTCAGGTAAAAACAATCAATCAGGGTCTTTAACAGAGGATGTATAGAAATCTGACTGCCTTAGAGATAACGTCTGCTCTTATTTGTTATGCTCAGGTGCAACATTTTAACTCAGAGGTGATGGGATTTTATGTGTAGATCACTTGAAATAGCTGCTTTTTTGTCCTTTGATATCTCCCCTCAGAAATCTTCCCTTCAGTCTACTTTATCACAGTAAAAGTTATCCTGTGATTTAAACATATTTCTTTGTTCCTCCTGGTTTTACTTCTTTATATTGCTAAAAAAAATATTTCCATTCCTCCCCAAGAAATGTCCTTTTCTGTACCCCAAAGACTTAATATGCCTTTAGTCTTACACTCTGCTTTCCCCCCTTTTCTATCCCTTTTGCCCACCTTCATTCTCTCTCCCACTCTCTTCCATTTACTTGCTCTTTACTGTACTGCAGATTTACTACTAGAATTGCTATTTTGTAAGAGGAGTTCACAAACCAATGGCATTCAGCAGCACAGTGTTTAGCATCCCTGCCTCCTCCAAATATTTGGTACATTAGATCTTATTTTCACTACTAGTGTTGAACAAAGATGCAGGCATGTCTAAGTCAGCCAGAGCCCTTCCTGGTCATTAGTGAAAAGACAAACCAGGTTTCTGATCCCCTGGCAAACACAAGCAGAGGCAAAGGCCATAAAAGCCATTGCTGAGGAGAAACTGTTTTTGTGAAGTGTCAAATGGAATCTTGGTTTCTTCATACTCTGATGAAGTTTGGCCATCAGTGACACCAGGATGTCACCTGCAACACTGGGCCTGGGTAGGTTTTCAGATTTTGTGCCTGTAACTCCTCATAAACTATCTCAAAGAAAACACCTTTGTTGCATCCTCTCTTTCATGTTTTCATAAAAATTTCATCAATTTATTGAAGAGACAAGAGTATAATTAGCCATATCCACTCCATCAAAGTCAGCATGGCATGGTATATTGAATGGGCACAAAAGACATGTTAGAAATGGTTCTCTTAGGTAAATAATTTATTCCTGTAATATCTTGGAAATGCTAAATCCAGGCTGCAATTGCTCTCCTTCAGTTTAAAACACTTCCCCTATGGAGAATGAGGGAAGGATATTTTTTTTCTATTTGCTGGCTTTTTGAAGGGGGAGCTAAATAGTTTATATATTGATCCTTTAACATGCAAATATTAACAACATAATCAATACCAATACTTACCATTTACACAGTGCTTTTTCATCCACAAGTCTCAGGGTTAGATAGTCAGGTGAAGCAAGAGACTTTTGAAAGTTCCAGTGGTGTTGGAGAGCAGCAATCCAATGGTAGCTGGGATCTCAAGGGACGAGGGAGGAGAAAGGCTGGAGGAGGTTCAGGCAGAGCAGCAGGACCCCTTGGAGAGGGAAGCTTCACCCTGCCATGGAGAGGAGAGCATGGTAAAGGAAAGAAATACTGCAAGACAGAAGAGAAGGAGGTTTGAGAATGGTAAGCAGAGGAAAATGAACCTGGGAGAATTGGAGCACATGCAAGTGCAGAAGAAAGAAGAACAGATAAAATAGTAATAGAGGAATTGTAGAACTTGCTTCATGCAACAGGAAAATATGCAATATGGTCTTTTAAGAAAGAAAATAGGAGGAGATGGTAACCTATCTCATTTGGAGAGAAAAGGTGTTGCTTATGACTGGGAGAAGCTGTGATTTTGTTACAACTTGGACGATGCATGGACAGTCTGGGTTCATCCCTGCCTGTGTCTGCTCCATGGGTGGTGCTGTCTTTTCCCTGATGGCTCTGAGTGGATTAATTTGCAGACTTCTGGTCCAGATGCAGTCTTTTAATATATGTTTGGACAGCTGCATCACAATGGGGGCCTAATTTTGAATGAGGTCTCTGTTTTCTACCATAATTGAAATAATAAATCATAATCACTCAATAATGTTGCCACTATCACTTCTTGGACATAAAAATCCAAGACATCATAAGAAAACATAAATTATATTAATATTATCTATTATAGTAAAAAAACCTACAATCCATAGTCTGAAGCAAAACACCCAATGTCTGTGTAAAGTACAATTGTAGTAGTCTTTTGTTTGTTTGCTACAACAAGCAGTTGTATCAAAGGATTTGCTAAAAATTTGCAGGATTCTCGTCCCCCGGGCTGTGTTCCTCTGTGGGCAGGGCACCCTGCAGAGTTCCCTTCCTTGGGATTTTGGAGACTACAGCACAGTCAGGGCAGGCCCCTTTAAATCTCTTTGTTTTATCTGGTTGCCCAGGACAACCCCTGCAAACATCAGTGGAACAACTCGTGGTCTTCAAAAAGCTGGGACCTTGAGGAAAAGCTGGGTCATGTGGGGACAGAGAGATCCTGTGTAACCACACCTGTATGAGCAGCACACGTTTTTGCACAGACTTAATTTGCACATTTCTTTTTGAATTCTTTTTGCTTTTACAGTCAGTTTTAATTTGTGATATATGGCAAAAATAAACCTGTTTTTCTGGTGGCAGCTTTTTTTCTTGTTTTGTGTATTGCTTTCTGTTGTGATATAAATATTTATTGATTAAATATTTATATAAAACAAAAGAAGAATATCAGAAAGAATACTTTGACTATACAAAACTCAAAACTCCACTTATCATTTTATTTTGATAATGCTGTTTTTATTGTGCCTTTTGAGGTGACTGAGAAAGCTGAAAAGTCTATTAGAAAGCTAATTAAAAATACTAGGGAAATTCAAATAAGAGTGAAAATGGTAGCCTTTGCAATGAGTTGCCATTAGACGTAACAAATAGAGGGGTTAAATATTTGCTAGCTCATAAATATTTCATAGCTTGCTCTTACTGATATGAAACAGCAAGTTCTATCTTATACAGAATTCTGAAAAAATAACAAAAAAATGAAAACAACAAAACAATCTGGCAGTTCTGTGTCCCTGATACTTCAGAATCACTTTTTTCTCCCCAGATAATGTTTTAAAAGGAGATTAAAAGTTTATCTAGTTTGCCTCCTCTCCTGGCAGTGTTTCAATACTAGTTGCTTTAGAAAACTATTACTATTACTGCTGTATGTTTTGTTAAAAGTAGTAATATAATGTTAGTATATTACTGCTTTTCCAGATTTAAATTTTGAACTCCATTTTATGTCTCTAATATTTAAGATTAAAATCTCCATTTAGGTTGCGTTAATATTGTAGCTCTATAACTTGTATTTGATATAAAAATACACCTCTTAAAATTTAGTTATGAAAAAACTCATACTATTTCATATGTAAAACCCGTGGTTTTGTGATCAGATGATGAAAAAAGTCTGAAGTAGTAACTTTATTAGACTAACTGGATCTCACAAATGAGTATTAAGCTATTTGGAAGTTTTGGTTGAATCCTGTGAATGTCATTCTTCCCTTCATTTTTCTGAGAGAAGAAAAGGCAGTTAAAGCAATTCTTGCTTATGTAATCAAAATTCATGTCATCTTAAGTCTTACATAGCCTTTCAAATGAGAACAAAGTAACCAGAATATATAAATGAGTCAAAACAGGGTAAAATGCAGAACAATTAAACTGAATGTGAATTTAAATCCTGTGTAACTGTGGTTGGAACTCGGAATGGTAAAATCTTCCTGGAGCTGCAGATTTCAGTGCATTTTTTATAAAATGTGAAGTGTCATTTCTCTTCTACAAACTGTGTTGAAGGAGACTTTTTTAGTCTGACATAGGAATAGGATGGGACTCGGATTGTAGCAAACCCATAATCTGCCACTGTCTGCTCTGGATCATCAGCTGAAAAACTCTTTATTTTTAACAGAAGCACTGTGCTTTAAAGAAATAAGGGTTAATATCAGGCTATCTGTTCTACATTTGCATCCTACTCATTATCTTAAAAGGAGATAAAACAGCTTTCCAGACATGAGCTATTTTTTGCATGGAAATTCACATACACTCAGTGAGATAATTTCACAGTGTGCTATTCCACAAGTCTTCACCCCACACATTTCAGTTGATTTTACAGTCTCTGTTAATAGTTTCTGTTGGTGAATGCTACACAAGAGAGACAAATTTTCAGTCTGTAAAAGTTACAGGAAAAGAGCAAAGGCCACACCTTGAGTATTGTGTTCAGTTCTGGGCCCCTCAGTTCAGAAAGGATATTGAGGTGCTGGGGTGGGTCCAGAGAAGAGCAACAAGGCTGGTGAAGGGACTGGAGCACAAGTCCTATGGGGAGAGGCTGAGGGAGCTGGCTTTATGGCTGCTCAACAAAAAGAAATGCCTCTCCTAACTGCTGAAGTTCTGAGAGTCTTCCTTTCTTAAACAGGGGCAGACAGCAGATGGGAACTTGAAGATATTTGAAAAAGAACCTCCAAGCTTTGATTGCTAAACAGATAAAGATGCTCTGAAATGATATTTTGTGTGGTTAAAAACAGACGTGTTCCTGTCTTAAAGCTGCTCAAAACCATGGCCTGAACCAAAGGGGCCAAGTTAAGTTGAGAGTAACTGCCTGTAGTCTGTGGATACCCTTGGTGTTATGGTGTCTGCTTACACCAGTACTGAGCTTCACCCAGAGCATGTTTGGAGTGCTGAGGACTATAAAAAGTTATTGTACATGAGATGCTATGCTATGTCAATATCATAATGCTATAGCTTGTAAATTCACATTGATCTGCATAATAAAAGATGCTTACAGCAGTGATGAACTCAATCAAGTGCATGTTTGCTGATACATAAAAAAATAACAAGCCATCTTGCTGGGCATTTGATTTCCAGGAGATAATCCCAGACAGTACTCTGAAGATTAGAGAGAGAGGAGATAAGAAGCTGTGACAGGCTGGCAGTATCGGCCTGAAACACCATCCCCTATTAGCAGGTGTTGGTGCTGCTGGGAAGCTGTTGCATGGATTTTGCTAACACACTGAGCAGATGGCTTATAAAAGAAATAGGTGTTGCTTTTTGAAGCAAAAATTATGTAGGGGCTGAGAAATCTTGTAGCAAGAATCCCAAGGGAATATATAGCATAGGGAGGGAAGTTGAGCCGAACTTGTTTCTTCATTGGTAATGTTTTCTAGTCTGACACTAGAAAATGGGTGGTTTAGGACAGCACAGACTATGTTTGGACATGGCTTTATAGTAAGTGGGAAAATGCACCTGTTTAGAAAAGCATAATGATCTACTTAGTAAATATATTCTAAGATGAATGTTGTGCAAACAGATGAAAACAGTGGGAATAGCTATTATTCCTATTATACAGCTACATTCTGGTTCTGTTTCAAAGCTTTTGAACTTCATGATTGTTACATTTAATGTTTTGAAACCCTTTTTGGCATTTGCCAGTGCCAACAGTTGCACAAACATGGAACATGTTTCAACAGCAGAAGTAAAATGCAACTTCAAATTTTCTGGATCATATCAGACTATGAATCCTACTGCAACTCTGCAAGCTGATGGTTGACTGGGCAGGAGAATTAGGTTTGCATTTCAAAGACTATTTTGTGACTTTGTTCAAAGACCAGCGATCTTCAGAGAATTTAATTATCCTCTTTGTAATTTGAAGACATTGTATTTACTGGATTTGAGATGGATCACATATACACAGCATTACAGACCTCATAATTATTCAGGAAGTATGTTAGTAGTAATAGGAAAGGTGAAATAGGAACTATGCTCAAATCTTCAAGCTTTCTCTCAAAGATAGAATTGATCCAATTGCCCCTACAATTCTTCTACTGTGACAATTAAATTCATACAGGAACCCACGATTCCTGGATGGAAAAACAGGAAAAAACTTAGAAAATTCATAGAAATATGTAGATTTCTGAGAAAGCACATTCTTCCTGATCTCTGGTTTTCTGTTTTGCCTGTGTTTGTTTATTTGTGAAATTCATAAGATAATCTTCACACCATACAAAAGGTATTTTTATTACTAGTTCTATTTACAGTAATTATCTAGGCACATCTGTTCTCAAGTGCATCAATGTTCAATATTTAAAATAGTTTAATATTAAAAATAAAACTCTAATGATCCTAATTAAGCATCTGTGTATTTAATACCCTGCTTTTGTTTCTTACTGCATTTTGTTAGCTCTAATGTTTCCACATGGAGGTAAGAGTACCATCTATTTCAGAGCGATTCAGAATGCAGATCGCAGGCAGAATGTGCTGTAGGCCCAAAGCAAACTTTGCCCCAGAGATAACATGTAATGCCTGTAAACCTTGCAAATGGCTTCATCTGCAGTCAGTGGCAGCATTCCAAGTGACTAACGGAAAGAGAATCAAACCTTCCCTAGGAGCATCCTGTAACACAGCTTCTTCACAGCTGTGAGAAAAACAATGAATGCTTACATGGGGATGAGCTTAGATCCCATGGCTTTAGCACGGGACTTCTATCATTAAAATTTAGATCTGTTACTACAAACACTTATCTACACAAACAAGCATGGGAGTTTCTATCATGTTTGTGAGCAGAAATTATACCTTTGCTTTTTTTTTGACAAGCCCGACAAAGGTTTAAGCTGTAAATAAATGAAAATTTCTGCATATCAGTAAAAAACACGATGCAAACTGTAATCAAACCAAATGAAAAATACCATTTCTGTAAAAAGTAAATTCTTCTATTTTATAAATCAATACCACACATGAGAAATAGTCTGACTTCTCTCTAGGATTTCCTAAAGGGTTTTTCATGTGGTTTTCTGTCCTTAACAATCATTTTAGTATTTGCAAGAAGCCCACAATCTGTTCCTTTTAAAATATCAGCTTACCTTGCAAGATGGTAAAGTAGAATAAAAAAATTAATGCTGATCAGGGTGCAATTGAACTTTCAACAAACTTGCTTCACATCATTTGACATTGTCAACTTTCTGTTCCAGTTCTTTCTGACCAAGAAAATGAAACTTGAAACTAAGCCTACTGAATATATTAATTCCTAACTGCCTTAGAAAGGTAGTTGTAGAGATTCTCATGGAAGGCCTATTTTAGCCAAGAGATTGGGCCGAAAAGGTTAGACTGGAATTGATTTTAAAGTGAGGAATGCGTGATGTAAGAAAGTAATAGTACAAATAAGTTAATTAATTGATAGAAGAAAACTCAAGCATTAGCAACCAGAAGAAGTCAATAAAAGCGTACAGCTGGTTCCACGGCAAACATAATTCAGCCTAAATCAAATGCTGCCCCAGTGACTTCCGTACTTGTGAATCAGGCTCCTAACCGTGATAAACACAGAGGATACTACGTAACCTATTGAGATAATTGACTAAATTTCAGTTGGGCTTCTATTACTTATTCTTAACAATTTTTCGAAGTTTTTTATGCTTTTGATAAATTTTTAAAAAATTTTATTTGACAAATGTTTCTCTATTTTTTTAATCGTTAATGCCTTTATCTGATTAGGTCACGCGCCTTATGCGAGGATGCAAAGTATGTCAGGAGAAGCCCGAAATGGCTCTTTCAGAGTGGCAAACAGCGGGCTGTGCAAACGGGAGGACAACGCTCGGCCGCGGGTCCAAACGGGAAGAGGAACAGCACGGTCCGGCACGGCACGCAGGTCTGAAGGGCCGCCGGGGCGGCGGGCCGGGGGGGCCGGGCCTTGAGCGCAGGGACCCGCCGGCAGCTCCACCCGCCGCGCTCGGGAGGCTCCGGCGCCTCAGGGCCGACGCGCTCGGGGCGCCCGCGGGGCTCTCGGTCGGGGAAGCGCCTGGCCCGCGGCAGCGCTCCGCGGAGCTCCCAGGCGCTTCCCGGCAGCCGGGGCCGGCCCCGGGGCCGCCCGCCTCGGAGGGGCCGAGGGGAGCGGCCGCTGCCGGCGCTGAGGGCCCCGCGCCTCACGGCCGGGCCGGGCCGGGCGCTGCCCGCGCGGGCCGCCGGGTCCGCTCGCGTCCTCGGCGGCGAGACAGCGCGGGCCGCTCCCACCGCCGGCGCAGGGGGGACGCCGGCGGACGGCCAGCGCGCCCCCGCCCGCCGCGCCGCGGGTCCGGTCCGCGGCCCGCCCGCCCCCCTCGGCGGTCTCCTCGCACGTACCTGTGTGGGAGGGCCCGTCGCTCCGGCCCCGCCCGCCCGTCCGCCGGCGGTGCCCCCTCGCGGGAATGGTTTGTCCCGGCTCCCGCCGTAACCTCCCGCTCCTCTCCCGCCCGTGCCCCGCGGATGCGGCCGCGCGGGATCGCCCCGCCCGGGATCGCCCGCCGTGAGGCGCCGCACGCGCCGCCCGGGAGCCCCGAGCGCTCCGGGACCTCCCGCCCCCCGCCCCACAGGTGAGCTCAGGGTGAGGGGCGGCGGGTGCTCCCCGCCTCTGCTGCCCGCCCCGAGGAGAGGCGGCGGGAGCGGCCGGCCCGCCGTGATTCAGCATCGCCGGCGGGGACGGGCAGCGCCGCCGGCGGGGGGCTGCGGGGTGCGGAGCGGGGTCTGCCGGCGGCTCGGGGCGATGCTCCGGGCGGGAGCGCGGGGAAGTGGCCGGTGTGCGGCGGGCCCCTCGGGAAGGTGCTGAGCGCAGCCCTCGCGCGGGCAGGGAGGATGACTGCGCGTGTCGCAGTGTGAGGAACAGGGAGCCAGGAGGCGGTTCGGGATTAAAGGTATTAATTTTCTCTTCCCGTCCCTCCTCCCCCGAATTTTTGCTTGCGAAGCCCATCATCTGTGCGGGTCGTGTTGCATGTGCGGCCGGATCTCTTCAGAGCCGGTTAAGGTTAAAATGGGCTCGTCCTTTGGCAGTGGTACCCGGTGGAGGCTGAAATGTAGAACAAGTTAAATCTCTGGAGATGCAAGTCAAATATCTTCCTGTGCTTTCTGTGCTTAGCTGGAAGCCCATAATCTGTGAGGTCTTTTTGAATTTCTGCTGTTCAAACCACACATAACTGTGAGCAGAAGGGAAAAGCAGTTCATCCTGCAATTTGAACTCAGTGCTGAACTCTGAGGAGCTGACTTAAGGTCTCAGTATTGATTGCTTTTGTGCTTTTCTTATGTATTTGCATTTTGAGTACCAAAATTAGATTTTATTCCTTCTCAAATCCCCTCTAAACCAACCAAATGCACATATTCCACCCACCCCACAATTCAGTGTACTTTTCTGCCTAAATCCCTCATTAATTTTATGTACCAGGGTGCTAGCACCTATCTCAACAATATTCAGAGAAACCCTGCTGGTTCTTTGCATGCTTGAAAGAGTAGAAGTACTTTTCTCTGTGAGAATTGGTTGTCCCCCAAATTCTGCAAAGTATCTCAAAATATACAATGTCTTGGCATCTGTAGAAGCTTTTGCCCCTGTTTTAAGTGCTGTGATGTTGGTTTTAATAGAAATAAGATTTGTGTCAATGGTACTTTGAACAAACAATGACAGAAATCAGTTATTATGCCAGGGGTTTTCCTACACGGTGAGTAAATATAATGTCTCTGATAACATACGGAAGTAGTACTTCTGAAGCAAGATTCCCTGGAGAAAAATGTTACAAAGTTTCTGAATATGTGATTTTCGTAAGGAAAGAATATGTCTTTACCTGTAGGTATTGCCAGTATTATACAAGAAAGTCTAGAACAATGGTTGCTAATTTTGTTTGTTTGTTTGTTTGTTTGTTTGTTTTAGAAGAACGCCCCATTCTAAATTTCTGATGGTTTGGATACATTCCACATACTTCCGAAGGGATCTACCCAGCACTTTGGGAGTGTTAAAAGAGGCCAGGAGATCGAGCCTGTCAGCAATTATTAGGTAAATATTCCAGTAATCTAGCAGTTATGTTAGTAATCTGAGGCTCAGGTTTGCAATCAAACTAAAAGTTTGTTCCCATGTTCTTCCAAAGCTGACAGTGATAAGTTGGCACCGTAGATTTAGTTGTGGACAAGTCTGAAGAACTTGGAGATGAATGGGTCAACAAGCAGTTAGACACTAAGCCATCTTGCAGTTTTTTTGTATAGTTAGGATTTTTTCTAAGATGTTTATTATACTGTATGTTGATAACGAAAGCCACAAATACATTTCTGAAGCTGAAATGTGGCAGACTGATGCTGACTGCTGAATGTGCTTGCTCTGAATTGTCAGCATCAAGAATGACTGAAATATGATTTCTTGATTTGAATCTCCATCTGTGGATATTTATTATAAATTTTAAAAATCTCTGTAGAATAAATAAGGCAAATGAGTAATTTCTTGAACTTCCACATTTTCTAATGAACTGGGATTTTTTTTCATGTTTTTTCTTCTTCCCTCTGTTTTAATGCTGTATTAAGGCGTATTTCTACATGTCTCGTACTAAATGAGAACACATTAACTTAAGGGTGTAAATCCTTAGAAAATAAGAAATTGAAGTGAAATCTTAATGTCAGAAATGGAGAGATTGATCACACATTCCAAGCTACCCTGCTTCTACTTTTGCAAAGCTCCCGTCTTAAAAAATGCACATGGCAGCATGTTGCAAGATAATTTTTTGCTATGTGGGTTACTAATTTTTTTTACTTTTGTGCCATGATTTTATCAGTGTAAAGACATCTTGTAGAAACCAGCAATGCTTATTTCTCACTTCTGTATGTTTCTGCAAATCTTCAGAAAATTCCGAGTGTTATTACTGCCTTGAAGTGTTGTGGCTTTTGGACAATCCTAAATCCCGAAGACCTTGAATTTTTCCGTTAGGCTTTGTATCAGTCCCTGATGACATAGGTGAATGCTTGATGAGGTATTTCCATCGCCGTCATTGACATGGTGCCTCTGCAATGATCCCTTCCGGGGAAGGAATAGTTGGTATTTCCCTAAAAGAGGAAGTTCATTTTATTTGGAAAGATGCATACGAAGTGTCAAAGTTAAGAACTTTCATTGCAGGTACCACAGCGTACGTATTGGAGGATATTGCTGGATTTTGTTTTTCCCTTTAGAGTACTTAGCCTTAGATTCATTTTTATTTTCTGCACACCTGAAAGGTAATTGGGGCCATTGGAATCCTACTGCCAGAAGTCAAGTGGCCCTTATTAAGCATGAGGAGCTCTTTAGAGCTCCAGTAATGCTTACATAAGATCCTGCCAGAATGGTCCTTTGCAACTACTCCTTTTACAGACATTACGAGCTTCCTTGAAAGTTTACTGGAACCAATGAACCTTTTAATTATTAATATTTAAAGTATTAGTGTATTTCAAGTTTAGAATGGAGTTCGTTGACTCTGCTACACTGACAGGGCTAAGGGAATCATTTGCAATTGAATGGATATGGGAGAAAAAAGGTGACACGCTGAAGCAGTCAACCTCTGAACCTGGTGGGTATTAGAGCAAATCTTCCTGTTCCACAGGAACACCCCTGTTGGAGCCAGAGGCTCTTTCACACCAGGAGGTTCCATAGTGCCTTGGTCTACTGAACATTCTTCTTCATGGTGGTGGGTGCAGGAACCTACAGGTTCTGTAGGGGCGAAAGTAATAGCTTTTGCTAAGAACATTTTCCAGTTTTCTTCCTTACCTTCTCTCTTAAATGTTCATACAGTTGTACAGTATAGTTTCACAATGCTACCACATTAATTTATACTCATTTATCAATATTTTTGCTCTGCCTTGAATTCCATATGCCAGGAAACAAGCTCTAAGATGTTAGAACAAATTTTTGGCTTTGTGTTTCAGAGGGCTAAATAAAGCAGACATAATGGTTCTTGCCTTCAATATGAGGTTTAATTAGAATACAGGACCTCCAAAATGAAGATCAGTGTATACAGTTATAGTACTTGTTTCCCAGATGTTACAAATAAAAGTACAGATAGTTTAAAATAGTAAAAATATAGATCTACATTGTTTCAAAGGCAATATTTAAAAATGTAATCCCATGGTTTTTGGATGAGCCTTCATTTCTAGGGACATATGAACAGTACAGCTTTAGGGAGAGTCCAAATTAACAATAATAATGAAAGAAAGACAAAAGAAAACAACATTCTGGTTTAGGACTCACTTTTCACTTTCTGTGGAGTGAGTGTCTTGCCAGTTCCCACTGTACGCTTGTATTTGGTTTTGGAAGGATTCCAGATTGAAGTCTGATATGCACCACTGCCCAAATGCATCTCACTCAGATGGCTGCATGACTAGTGATTGACAGAAAAACTGACTGCCTAAAAGGATGGAGGTGCTTTATGCTGCAGTTCAGAAGCCCTTTCTGGCCAGCAGTAGTAACAGAGTACTGACAGTCACTCCTCAGAAGAAAGAAGAAAGACTAAATCCACTTTTCGTATATAATAAATGCTGCACAGAGAATTGAGTAGGGTGTGGGTTTCAGTTAGACACAGTGTGTTGACAAGTTTATTTTCATCCTTGCTTAGTAGCAAAATGCTAAATATATTCTTCTTTAGTTACATTAAAGTATGTTTCCTTTCAACTTTGTCCGTGGTTTGACATGTGTTTGTTTTATTTTTAGCACTTGAAAACCAGCACGGTAATATCCCTATAGGGTGCAGTGGAAGCACTGGAGTATAGCATGAGAAAATGAAATCAGATGCTTAATACTGAATTCTTGCAGGTGAAGAGGCAAAGTCTTGATACTGATTATGGACACAAAAAGTGAGTGGATTGACAGGGCAGAAGACTGTGAGATTTGATGGGGAAATCGCTCTTATTTACTCGCTCAGAATGATCTTTTGTGAAAAATATAGAATAGAGCTATGTGATGGAAGGCAGTACTTTCTTTGCTTTTGTGGGTGGTTGTCAAGTGTTTAGTGTTCATTGAACATGAAGTTTCTATGAATTTGTTATATTGCTTTGTCCTTCCAAGCTTATCTTGGTGGTGTGGGGGGTGGGAAAAACATGCAAAAACACTTCATATGAATTATTGATGAAAGAAATCTCAAATATGTGCAATTTATTCACCCAGGAAAACCCACACTTTTAATTACATTTTATTTCACGGGGATTTTTAGAGGGGTATCATATTATCCTAACTTTTTATCTTTATGTGAACCTGAAGTCTTTGAAAGACTATAAATTATTAGTGAGCATTAACGATTATGCATTTATTTGAATAAAAGGGTTTTTCTGCTTAAAAATAAACGAGAATAATGTGAGAACATGAATTTAGTACATTTTGTGCCATTTTAAAAACGGAAGCATTTACTGAAAACAATGTCTCTGAGGATGGAAAGGAGATATTCAGTAAAATAAAGCATGGAGGTACAG